CCACTGGGGCCTTCGGTGGAGCTCCCTATGGGGCCACGAAACGTGTGAGGGGTGTGCCGAAATGGGTGGTGGGGAGGCATGCGAACCCTGCCACTGGGGCCTTCGGTGGAGCTCCCTATGGGGCCACGAAACGTGTGAGGGGTGTGCCGAAATGGGTGGTGGGGAGGCATGCGACCCTGCCACTGGGGCCTTCGGTGGAGCTCCCTATGGGGCCACGAAACGTGTGAGGGGTGTGCCGAAATGAGTGGTGGGGGGGCATGCGGGCCCTGGCACTGGGGCCTTCGATGGAGCTCCCTATGGGGCCACGAAACGTGTGAGGGGTGTGCCGAAATGAGTGGTGGGGAGGCATGCGGACCCTGCCACTGGTGTCTTCGGTGGAACTCCCTATGGGGCCACGAAGCGTGTGAGGGGTGTGCCGAAATGGGTGGTGGGGAGGCATGCGAACCCTGCCACTGGGGCTTTCGGTGTAGCTCCCTATGGGGCCACGAAACGTTTGAGGGGTGTGCCGAAATGGGTGTTGGAGAGGCATGCGAACCCTGCCACTGGGGCGTTCGGTGGAGCTCCCTATGGGTCCACGAAACGTGTGAGGGGTGTGCCGAAATGGGTGGCGATGATGGTGATGGTGACGGCGGGTGATGAGGACGATGATGGTGCCGATGACGGTGATGGCGATGATGACGACGAGGATGACGACGATAATGATGACGAGGATGATGGTGATGCTGGCGATGATGATGAACATGACGGCCATGATGTTGCTGGTGATGATGATGACGGTGACGATGGCGATGATGCCTGATGGTGATGCCGATGATGCGAGGAGGGGGGGGGGGGCAGCGGGAGGAGGAGGGGTGACGCGGGGCGCTCTCTCTTCAAAACGAGGACCCAACACCGCAGGATGGTTGAGAAATATGATGAGGACGGCCCGCGCCGCCGCCAAGACGGCTCTAAGTAGGATCTGGTCAAAGACAGCGGGGCACCCTTCCAAGTCCTCATGTGGTCTGGTGGCCCCCGTGAAACACAAAGCCCTCATGGGGTCTCGGGGTCTTCGTGGGATCCAATGGGGGGGCATGAGGAATCCCGAACACCGAGAGAAAGCGCCTCCGAGCTCCTGTGCACGTGACCCCAAGGAACCTCCAAGACGGCCCGATATGCCTCTGCACGGCGGCGCACCCCCCGCCCCCTTCCCCTTCCCCCCACGGGCGAGGCGGAGGATGAGGCAGAGGAGGAGGAGGGGAAGGAGGTGGGGGATGGCGGAAGGGGGGCAAGGAGGAGGATGAGCAGCAGGGGGGTGAGGAGGAGGAGGAGGAGGAGGAGGAGGAGGAGGAGGAGGAGGAGGAGTGCCACTGCACGCAACAGCCCCGACGACTCGCACGAGCCGACCTGCCCCCTGCCGTCGGCGCCATGCGCCGCTGCGGGAGCGCCAAGGGGACTCCGACCGCCCCCTCCTCCCATTCCTCCTCCTCCTCCGCTCCTCCTCCGCATCCTCATCACCCGCCTCCTCCTCCTCCTCCTCCTCATCCTCCTCCGCTCCTCCTCCTCCTCATCATCATCCTCATCATCATCCTCAGGCGACGAATGCAAAGAAGGCGGGGGAGGGCGATGGCACCACACGACGACGACAAATGATGCGGGCAATGTGTCTTTGTTTTTGTTTGCGTCTCTGTTCCCCCACCCCATCCCACGAAAGCGCCAAGAACACCAACGGGCCCGACACGGCCCGAAGACGGCCCAATACGACCACCGCTTTTTTTTGTTTTGTTTTTTTTTTTTACCTGGTGCCCGCGGTCCAAACCACCGTGGAATAGATCAGGCGCCTGTGCAATGCGTCACGTACACGCCATACGGAAAGCAAATAATGCAATCGAGAAGGCGCTTGCTGTGTAATGCACAAAATGCACGCCATACGGAAAGCACATAATGCATAGAGAATCCTACAGGCTTGAGGCTCGAGTGCTGCTACGGATATGAGCGGGCATCCGCGTCGTGGGATCTTGGGGCCCCTTCCCCACCCCCCTATGTCGCGAACAATGCGTTCGCCTTGGAAGTGAGACGGGAGGCATCATGGACCAAACATGACCCGCAACCCATGCACGGTGGAGAATGGGCCGGGGGCTACAAAGACATTTGATGAGGAGAAGAATGAGGGAGTGGATGATGAGAGGGATTGAAGAATATAATGAGGAGAAGGAGCGCACGGAGGAGGGGGACCTCCCGAGTACGTCTCGCACGGGAGCTCATTGGAGGAGCAGAGTTGCGAGCGTCTCGAGCATGAGCACCTCCGAGGAGTATCAGCGTGAAAGATGTTTCGAGCGGGAGCCGCTTTACAAACGTAAACGTTCAAAGACATCCCAGGCGGAATCATCTTCGAGGAGTAGAGATAGGAACAGCGCTGACCTGCGCGAGACCGTCCGCAAGACCCAGTGCGAGACCCCCATCGGAACCTGCCGACTTTGCTGTGTGACGGTGCTGTGTCGTAAGCAAAAACAAAAATCCTCGCTCCCCCTCCTCCTCCTCATCCTCCTCCTCCCACTCCTTCCCCGTCTCCCTTGCACTCGCCCCTGCCCCTTCCGCATCGCCCGCCCAACCCCACCGCCACTCCACCGTCTCCTCATCCCCATTAACCCGCGCATCGCGCTTCCCCATCCCCCATCCTCACCCTCACCCGCATCCTCGTTATCCCCTGCTACCCTCCTCGCCGCAATCGCCCGTAGGCGACGTCGCTCAGCCGCTGGGACAGACGCAGGTTTTGCTTCACTAGCGCGCGAGAGACCACACTGGAGCCAGTGTGGGAAGCGGTGAACGAACTAAGTGCACCTGCCGCTGCTGGCGCGCGCAGCCCATCCACGCCCACGTGCCACGAAAGATGCACACATCACTTCAAGTGTACCACTGCTTCACATCACTTCAAGTGCACCACTGTTAACCATCACTGTGGCATGGCATGCCGCCACTCGCGGGCGTGGGGCGCACCTATAGCAGAGCAGGGCTGGAGCGACGCGCGAAACTTAGCCGCTGCAGTCGCAGCGACGGGCCATTCAGCCCAAGACAGCGAGCGATGCTTGCTGCGCCATGCCAGCGCTTGGCTGAGCTTCGAGCAAGAAGAGGACAACACATGAAGATGCACGATGTGGTGCGGACCAAATGCGACGCACACGGAGAGCGTACAACACAACATACACCTGAACTCAGGAACACATTGAGACGCACATGCAGCCGTACACATACACATATGGGTTCCGTGCACAACACGTGATGTAAAGTTGTGGTGCAAAGAAGGACACACGTACAATGCAAGGGGGATAAGCTTTGCATGGGCAGCACCTCCGAAAGCAAAAAAAGCCTCGGTGCCCACTGGTGAACGTGCAGGCCTACTTCCTGCCCCTGCCCCTGCCGCCCCTGCCATTGCCCGTGGTGGCCTTCGGGGCGGGACGATCTTTCCCTTTCCCCTCCCCCTTGGCCTCCTTAGTGGCCCTCGGGGTGGAAGCCTCGGGCGGGGCGGGCCTCTTGCTGGGCGACGGGGCGGCGCGCTGGTCCTTCTCAGCGCGGAACAGAGGCTCGCCAACGCTTAGGTCCCGCGAGTTGATCAACACAGGAATTGAAACCCTGCGCGTGCTAGTATCGCCCCTCCTGTCTGGCGAGCTACACTTAATGTCGACTGGAATGCGGCTGTACGTCATGTTTGCCTTTGCGCTGTCCTTGGTGGTGGGCACACAGAAATACGGGACAACGACGGGCTTATCACCGCTCAAGTCAGGCCTTGACGAGAGGTACACCGACGTCTCACCCTTCGACGGGCCCAGCTGGCCTGGAGCCCAGAAGGTGACCTCGATCGCATTACTTGGAACTTTAGGCCCCGTCCCAATGCTGGTGGTTAAAGGCACGAGGACCAAGGTCCCCGCTTCGTATTTCTTCTCTGCTTTGACATTGTGAATGACCTGCTTAGGCGAGGTCGAGTACGACACAGACAAGTCCACCTTCCCTTCCAAAGAGCGGTACACATGAAACAAGGCGTGCCTAACGTCAGACTTCACCATCTCGACCTGCATGTCGATGGATTCCTCGCGGCAGCGGTCGCTCCCTACCTTATATATATACACATATATGTACATGTGTGTTTGCATATGTATATGTATACATGTGTATATTTGTATACAAAACTCCCATCTCTCTCTCTCTCTCCCTCCCTCCCTCCCTCCCTCTCTCTCTCTCTCTCTCTCTCCCTCCATCCCTCCATCCCTCCCTCCCTCCCTCCCCCCCTCTCTCCCTCTCACCTTTTATCCTCTCCCCCGCTCTATCATTCTCTCCCGCCCTCCCCATCCCCCCCTTTATCCCTCCATGCACCCCTCCCGTGCTCTCCCTGCCCCTCCACCACATCCCTCCATCACCCATTGCACGCGTGGCATCCGCCCACTCCCATCCCTCCCCTCCCCCTCTTCACCCTGCCCCGTCCGCCCCCCTCCCCCCCTCCCATCACCCCCTCACCCCATCCCCAATCCTCACCATCCTCATCCCTCCTCCTTCCGCCCGCCCTCCCAGCCCACCCCACCACGACCTCCCCCATCCAACCCCCCCTACCCTCCCCCTTCCCCTCAGAGGGCAAGCGGCCGCAATGGGTCCGACGCGCTCGGTCCACCCTTCTTGGTGGAGAGGACTTTCTGGTTCCCAACGGGCATGGCCTGAGGGCGGCAGGGCGACAGATCGAAGGGTCGACCGACGGACGAGGGCCGACGGCTTAGGGCGAAGACGCAGTGCGGAGGTGACGACACCGCGAGATGAGGAGTGCATGATGGGGGGGGGGGGGGGGGGGGGGGGGAAGTGGCTGAGGGGGCGAGGGGGCAGTGGAGCGGGAAGAGGAGGAGGGGGGAAGGAGGAGGAGGGAGAGGGGTGAAGGGTGAACAAGGAGGGGGGAAGGGTAAACAAGGAGGGTGGAAGGAGGAGGACGATGAGGAGGAGGATGAGGAGGAGGAGGAGGCGGAAGAGGAGGAGGAGGAAGAGGATTATAGCATGAGAAACAAAAGCAGTGTGCAGAAGGCGCGTGCCTTGTACTCGTCGAGCAACTGGCCAACGGTGACGTTGATCAAGTCATCGCCGTCGTCGCCGTCGACGGGGTCGGCGCCGTCGACCTTCTCCTGCAAAGTGGCCCCCTCGGTGCTGAGATTCTTGATGATGTACATCTTGTTCTCCTTCTCGATGGTGACGCCTGTCTTGAAGCCGCGGCTGCCCAAGCAGTCGGAAGAGACGCCGCCCGTGCTGGAGAACTGCCTGAAGCCAGAGTCGTCCTGCTTCGGCGAAGTGCCCTTCGGCTCGAGGACGGGCCAGGGTTGGTCCAAGTCCTTTGCCACAGGGTAGAGCTCCCAGATCGTCTCCAACAGCCACTGGCCGATCTCCTTCAGGTTGCCGAAGCACCTGCGGTTCCCGGACTTCTTGCCATGGACGTGCATGACGCACTTCACCTGGAAGTCGCTCATGGTTTTGCAGCGATCTGTCTGTGACATGCCAACTGTCTCCATGAATTTGGCAGCGTGGCGAATCATCGTGGCAACCGTGATCGCGGACGCCTTGTGCTTGGACGAGATGGACGCGCAGTCCGAGGTCGTAAAGAGGCGGCACTCGTTGCCGCGGCAGAAGTTCTCAGGTGCCACCAAGCATGCCTTCACACACGATACGATGTACTCTGGCGCTTGCACCATCGGGATCGACGCGAACGCCTTGAACGTCGCCCCGCTGATGTCCCTCCTGAACACGAGGGTCTTGGAGAACTCCTCCAGATCCCGCAAGTGCACTGGCTCGGTGCCCCCGCCCCACTCCTTCACGAACATGCAGAGGTCGTGGCACTGGCCAGCCAAAAAAGGCTTCGTCCTCTCGATCTCCCTGGCGATGGCGGCCCACATCTTATCATCGGGCATCGATCCACCCCTGACCGCGCGGGAGTGGATCTGGAGCAACGTCTGCATTGAAGACTGGACCCTATGCGCGCCGTGGGTCGCGTTGTCAGCCTCCTGGAAGAAGCTGCAGAAGCTCGCGCAGCTCGCAGGCACCTCAGCACGGATGATCAACCAGTGCAGGCCGTTCTCGACCGCCTCGGGGGCGAGGCTGTAGCAGGACGGCGAAACGCTCACACCGACAAATGCCCCCCTCGCCATCCACCCCACCCCCACCCCCCACGCACACACACACACAGACACATACACACAAACAAAACGCGCACACACAATCCCCCGATAGGACGGTTCACTGTCCTGCTACTGCCCTGGCCGCCTCCTTGTAGGAAGGACACGCCGTGTAGACCTTCTCCTTCGCCAAGTGGCCGTCAACGACCAAGGCGTCCGACGTCAAGGTCGTCTTGCACTCTCTGTCGATGCAGCGCAGGCCCGCGTTGGTGTGGCCGTTCGTGATCGAGAGGTAGCGGAGGTCATTCGCATTCATCGGCGGGATCGCGCCACCTGAGATCGCGCTCAGGTGGTCCTGGAAGTCGCGCTGCTTCTGGCGCGTGGTGGGGTCGCTGCTGAGCTCGATGGCGACCCCGCCAGCTGCCTTGGGCGGGAGGTGGAGCCCACACTGCATAAAAAAATGAGGAGGCACAGGAGGACGGTGGGAGATGGTGGAGGATGGCGATACAAGGGGCAGGATGGGGATCATGCGGAGGGCAGAGCTGGGGGAGTGAAAGGTTGGTGTCCTCTTAGGGGGTGGGGGGAGGGGGGCTCTTGGGTGTAAAAGTTGGATTGGGCCCCCGAGGCCCTTCTGGGTATTTTCTCCTGGCTTCAATTGTTTTACATCATTGGAGTGTTAAGAAATCGCGGGGCCACGTACACATTCGAATGTATCTAGGGTGCCGGGTCTCCAAGTTCGAGGGTCTCACCTCCTCATCCTCCCCCCTCCCCCTGCCTCCCCCTGATCCTTCCCGTTTCTTCCCATCCTCCCTCGTCGTCGTTTTTTTTGCTTTAAGCCAAAAGCCTCAGACCAACTGAAACCAACGGTGGCGATGCACTGGATCAAGCTGTGCACGTCCACCGCCTCCACGCCGATGCCGTGCCTGTTGGACGGCTCCACACCGACGTGGAAAGGCTTGCTCTGCTCGCGGTAGCACAAGCCCGCGGCCTCTAGTTTTTGGATTATCTGGTCCTGGAGTGTCTTGAAATTCGCATAAGTCGGGTCACCTTGCAGCGCCGAGTTGGAGACCCTCTCGACCCAATCGAGCAGCTCCTTGTGGGGGTTCGGGTTCAACATCGCGCCGGAGGGCGAAAGGACAACTGCACAGGCTGATGGCAGCAATCACCACAGAAGCTGAAATGGCCGCGGTGAAAACGAAAACAAACAACGATCGTAATCAAATACCGCGGGGTCCAATCCCGAAGGGCAGGAATTCCAAAGTAAACTACAAGGGGTCTGAAAAAAAAACTGTGCACCAAGACTATCAGAAGTCTGCAAAAGAGCTTACGCTAAACAGGTTAACGACTCTTCCGTATATGAAATAACAACTGCACCTAATCGAGTTAGCAAACGCTTGCTTACCCCCGCCCTATCTTGTCTAACCCACCTGCGGGGTTGGGCCAACTTGCTTACTAAAGCTGCTCTGTGGATCCGCTGGATCGCTATACTGCGCATGTGAATGTCGTGCACTTGTATGCGCGTGGTGTGGTTACACAAGACATGCACAACATACATACTCTTATATCCAAATTGTAAATTGTGTGCTAATCCTATGTATGCGTTTACAACCAAGCGACCCGCTTGCTAAAGACAACGGGGGTTCAAGTTACATGCTGCTTTAAAGTTATCTCGGGTTGCCCGGAAGGCCGCCCGCAGAGGGGGAGCTAAACAAAATGATACCCCAGAGCTTTAAAGCTATTCGGAAGCTACAACCAGTTATTTAAAAGCTGAACACAGCTGCATGAAAGCTAAACCAGCTTATTTCTGGCTAAGGAAAAACTTGTTTTAGCTTTGAGCTAAAAAACGGGAAAAATCTAACTCGATCATTTTGAACAAACCATCTCGGAATTCCTTTTCGGCTCGCCGGGGCGCCCCCCGGGCCTGCTGCAGCGGGCCGCTGGGGTTCGCCGGGGGCCCCAACGGCCGGGCCCGCCGGCGGCTGGCCGGAGGAAACCGCCGGCGGCCGCGGATCCGCGGGAGCCGGCGCGGCCGGCTTGATTTGCAATGCGCGCTGTCGCGGCCCGGGCCCGAATTTGCCAGCGCGCCCACGCGGCCCGGGCCCAACTATATGATGGCGCGCCGGGCGGCGGGGCCGACGATGAAACGCTCCGGCGCGGCGGGGCCCGACGCGCGACGCGCGCCGGCGCGGCCGGGCCCGGCGCGAGCGAGGGGCGGGGGAGGAGGAGGAGGAGGAGAAGAAGAGGAGGAGGAGGGGGGGGGATATGAGGAGGAGGAGGGAGGAGGAGGAGGGAGGAGGCAGGAGGAGGAGGAGGAGGAGGAGGGAGGAGGGGGAGGGAGGGGAGGAGGAGGAGGGAGGAGGAGGAGGAGGAGGAGGAGGAGGAGGAGGAGGAGGAGGAGGAGGAGGGGGAGTAGAGGAAGGAGGAGGAGGAGGAGGAGGAGGAGGAGGAGGAGAGGAGGAGGGAGGAGGAGGAGTACTTAGGAGAAGGATGGGGAATGGAGGAAGGAAGAGGGCGAGCAGGAGGAGGGTGGGGGCGGGGGGAGGGGGCGGGAGAGGCGTGCGAGGGGTTCGCGGCAGCAGAAGGCGCCGCGGCGGCACGGATGGGCCCGCGATGGGGAGAGGGGGGGAGGCCGGGAGAAAGAGGAGGAGGAGGAGGAGAAGGAGGAGGAGGAGGTGGCGGAGGAGGAGGAGGAGGGACCGAGACGAGGATGGGGAAGGCTGGTGAAGGGGTGGAGGAGGAAATGGTGGGAGAGGCATTGGGGTGGGTCGCGCGCAGAACCGCGCCGCGACCACCAACGTGGCGTCGCGTGCAGAACCCGCGCGGCATCCTTTGTTGATTTACCGGTGCGCGGGGCCATTATTTGATTCGGCGCGTCGCCACCGCGGGTTCGACGTCGCCCATCGCGCGCGCGCCTTCCCGTCGCTTCGGAAGCTCAGCTGGCGCTAGTTTTAGCTATTTCGGGCAGCTACTTGAGATATCTCTATATCTATACATAGGTAATATATATAGCATATTGCTGTCTTGATCCCCCGCTGTCTAAGGCCATCCGGTGTCACAACTCTCGGGTGCCTCGGGTATCTTAGGTCTCGATTCCTGTTGCCACGGGAAGCGTGACGTTCCCACACCACCAATGAATTGACGTCCTGGGGTCTCAGGGTGGGGCTTCTCGTGAAAAGCTTTCTTGTGGTCGAGCTCCCAGTGGAAAGGCAGGAGCGAGTGGGGGCAACGCTTCACGCCAGCTCCGAATTGTCGCGCGCAGGTTCCTCCGCCCGCAGCACCCGCAGGGCGCCCGCTCGGGGGGGCAGCGGGCCCCCGGGGGGAACGCGTCGGCCCCCCCGTCGCCCACTCGTCCGCCGATGCTTCGGGGCCCGGGTATCGTCGAAGCGTCGCAGATTCCAGGTCGACGTTCCCCCCCCTCCCCCCCTAGCTGGACCCCCCTCCGTCGGCCCCCCCCGAAGTACGTGGGCGTCAAGGGCTATGGTGGTCCCATGATCAGTTTCAGGCGTCGCCTGCCCAGCAGCAGCCGCTGCCCAGTTCGGGCAGCACGTCTGCCGATGGGCCACGCCAGCTTCCCGAGCGCGCCAGCCCGAACATGCCAGCCCGAACGGCCTCTCCCCACTGCGAAGAACGTGCCAACCCGCTCCCTTCCTTTGCCGGCCGCATGCCGCAAGAGGTGCGGGCGCAGGGTGAGCCCAGCCACGGTCGCAAGCATGCCGAGCCTCCTCCTTCCCGTTCCCCCCGTTCCCGCCGCCTCTCTTCTCCCCCGCCCCTTACCTGATCCATCGCCCCCCCGCTCTCTTTCCTTCCCTTTTCCCCTCTCTCCTTTTTCCCTCTCCCCCTCCCTCCCTCTGCCTGTTTTTTCCTCCCCTCCTCCCCCCCCCCTCCCCTCGCCCTCCTCTCCCTCCCCCTTCCCACCTCAATGCCCTCTTTTCCCCCTCCCCCTCCCCGCTCCGTTTTCCCCCTCTCCTGGCTACTAGCTCCCTGCTCCCCTCGGACGTTTCTCTCTTCCCCTCCCGACTCGGAGGCGCATCTGCCCATCAGGTACGTCGACCACCTCCTGCACGGATTTGCCGATGCACTCGACGTCAGGGACAGGAGCAGCCTCGTCCTCCTCCTCGTCCTCGTTTCCCTCCTCCCCCCGCCGACTTCCTTTTTGTTCACCCTCTTCTCCTCCACCTCCCTCCTGAGCGCCCGCCCGGCAGAAGAGGCTTGACTTCTCCTTCGTGGACAGCCGTTCCGTTCCGTTCCTCCTCCCTGTCCCCCTCCTGCACCTCGTCCCGTCTCCCTCTTAATACCCTCACCATCGCCGGCTTCTCAACATGAGTAGTATTCGCCCCTTCCCCCCGAAGATGGTTGTGGAGTGGCGCGCCCCCTCTTCGTATGGTTTTTCGTTCAGGAATTCACGATGCTGCCTTGCCAATGTCATTTGTCAATCGAAGCGTCTTCGGTGTCTCAAACTGGTGGGCCCCCGCGTCGTTCACAATGGCGCTCTCGCCCCAGCGCGGGCCACTCTTCTGGATCCGAGTCCTTCCTCCTTGTTGTCGCCCCCCTCCTTCCTCCTCCTTCTCCTCCTCCGCCTTCCCCGGGTCATCTTGCTCCTCCCGTTCGTTCCACTCCAGTCCGCTGCTGCTGTTCGTCCTCTTCCTCGTTCTGGTTCTCTTTCCTCCTCTTCCTCCTCCTCCTCCTCCTCCTCCTCCTCCTCCTCCTCTTCCTGCTCTTTTTGTTCCTGCTCCTTCTCCTGCGCATCCGCTATTATGACCTCCTCCCTCCCTCTCCTCCTCTTCCTCTTCCTCCTCCTCCTCGTCCTCCTCCTCCTCCTCTTCCTCCTCCTCCTTCCCCTCCTCCTCCTCCTCCTCCCTCCTCCTCCTCCTCCTCCTCCTTCCTCCTCCCCCTGCTCATCTTCCTCCTCCGCCTCCTCCTCCTCCTCCTCCTTCTCCTCCTCCTTATCCTCTGCCTCCTCCCCCTTCTCCTCTCCCCCTCCTCCTCCTCCTCCTCCTCTCCTCATCATCATCATCATCATCATCATCATCATCATCATCATCCTCATCATCCTCATCCTCATCCTCATCTCATCCTCATCCTCATCATCCTCATCCTCCTTCCCCTCCTCCTCCTCCTCCTCCTCCTCCTCCTCTGCCTCCTGTGTACGCACCCTTCCTCCTCCTCCTCCTCCTCCTCCTCCTCCTCATCTTCCTCCTCCACCTCCACCTCCTCCTGTGTACCCGTCTCCCCTTTTTTTACGACTGAGCACCACACGGGGTTTTGTTCTCAGAAGTTCCAGGTCCGCTCTGCTACGCGTCCGCGGATGGAGAAGCAATCGGCGCAGACAGTATGGAGGCGTTGTAGCACCATGTGACAGGCTTGCCCGTGGAGAGACATACGGAGAAGAAGGCGATCCAGCCGATGCCCTTGACATCCGTCGTGCCCAGGCAAAGACGCCCTGGAGCTCCAGCTGGTGCAATGTCCCAGGCCTCTTGCCCAGGGGCCATGGCCAGCGCTAAGCAAGCGGGGGTGACCAAGGCCACGCCGGCTGAGTGGCCACCCTCCGCGGTGCGCACGGCAGGGGCGCCGACCGCGCGCCGCCCTCGGGCCTGCATGGCCGACGCCGAAACCTGCAGTCAGCCCTCGGGCTTGGCATGCTCCTGGACTGCGATGACGGGCACACCGCCCTGCGTGATCATGGTGCTCACCTCCTTCCTCCTCCAGGAACTCCTCCAAGCGGCCCCAGGACAGGCCGGCGTTGAAGGAGGAGGCGATCATGTGGCGAGCCCCTCGGGGCTGGCGGCGCCCTCGGCGCCGTTGGTCGCGGCCTGCGGCGGGGCGGTAAAACCCCTTGCGGCCTGGGCAACGCCGCCTCGCCATGCCTCTCGTAGAAGGAGCCCAGCACGACCCGCTTGGCCGCCCGCTCCTCCTCGGGGAGGTCCGCCACGCACTGCTCGATGAGCTCGTCGCGCTTGCGCTTGGCGTCCTCCAAGTCGACGGGGACGGGGATGCCGACGTGCGCCTGCGCACCGTCGCCGGCGCCTGCGCTAGGGGCTCCTCCAGCGGCGGGTGGGCCCTCGACACCTGCACCAGCGGCGTGCGAGGTCTCGGCGGCGGGCGGCACTGCAGGCGCAG